AAATGAAGAATAAATATCAAGGGAAGAGCACAAAATTAGGAATTTGATTTTGTTCATGGTAGGTGAATAAATGAAACTTGGATTAGGAAAAGGTCTGAGATGGAGATCGAACATTTGGGAGTCATCAGCACATATTATTTAAAGTCATGAGCCTGGATGAGCTCTAATACAGTAAAGTTGTCTTGGAGTTAAGCCCAGGTGTATTCCCATGTTTAGAAGTTGAGGAGAGTGCAAGTGGAGTAGAGAAGACGCTGGAAACCAACTGAAGGAAAGGCATGGTCAACTGTCAAAATGGTACTGACAGAACACTAAGACGAAGATTGAGAAGTAAATGACCATTGGATTTGGCAGTGGGAGGCCATTGGTGACATTTTGAGCTGTTTTGCTGGAGTGGTAGTGAGGAAAGGCTGGTGGTAGAGAATAGTAAAAGAGGAAATGCAGACCTCAGGATAGACTCATTTTTTTAATAAGAAATTATTTATCAAATATAAGATAGTTGTAATTTTGTGGATTGGTTTCTGTGTCCTCTATTCTGTACCATTGGTCCACCCGCCTGTTTTGGTACCAGTACCATGCTGTTTTTGTTACTATTGCTCTGTAGTATAGTTTGAGATCTGGTATCGCTATACTGCCTGATTCACACTTCCTGCTTAGAGTTGTTTTTGCTATTCTGGGTCTTTTATTTTTCCATATGAATTTCATGATTGCTTTCTCTATTTCTACAAGAAATGCCGTTGGGATTTTGATTGGCATTGCATTAAACCTATAGAGAACTTTTGGTAATATCGCCATTTTGATGATGTTAGTTCTGCCTATCCATGAACAGGGTATATTTTTCCATCTTCTAAGATCTTCTTCTATTTCTCTCTTTAGGGTTCTGTAGTTTTCATTGTATAAGTCTTTCACCTCTTTTGTTAGGTTGATTCCGAAGTATTTTATTTTTTTTTGAGGATATTTTGAATGGAGTGGTTGTCCTCATTTCCATTTCAGAGGATTTATCGCTGATATACAGGAATGCCTTTGATTTATGCGTGTTGATTTTATATCCTACCACTTTGCTGAATTCATTTATTAGCTCTAGTAGTTTCTTTTTAGACCCTTTTGGGTCTGCTAGGTATAGAATCATGTCATCTGCAAATAGTGATAATTTAAGTTCTTCTTTTCCTATTTTGATGCCTTTAATTTCTTTCGTCTGTCTAATTGCTCTGGCCAGTGTTTTGAGAACTATGTTGAACAGAAGTGGTGAAAGAGGGCATCCCTGTCTTGTTCCAGATTTTAGAGGGAATGCCTTCAATTTTTCTCCGTTCAGAATGATTCTAGCCTGAGGCTTAGCATAGATAGCTTTTACAATATTGAGGTATGTTCCTGTTATCCCTACAAATGGTGCTGGGAAAACTGGAAATCCATATGCAACAAAATGAAACTGAATTCCTTTCTCTCGCCATGCACAAAAGTTAACTCAAAATGGATCAAGGAGCTTGATATCAAATCAGAGACACGGCATCTGATAGAAGAAAAAGTTGGCTACGATCTACATACTGTTGGGTCGGGCTCCAAATTCCTCAATAGGACACCCGTAGCACAAGAGTTAATAACTAGAATCAACAAATGGGACTTACTCAAACTAAAAAGTTTTTTCTCAGCAAAAGAAACAATAAGAGAGGTAATGGGGAGCCTACATCCTGGGAACAAATCTTTACTCCTCACACTTCAGATAGAGCTCTAATATCCAGAGTATACAAAGAACTCAAAAAATTAAACAATAAGAAAACAAATAACCCAATCAACAAATGGGCCAAGGACCTGAACAGATACTTCTCAGAGGAGGACATACAATCAATCAACAAGTACATGAAAAAATGCTCACCATCTCTAGCAGTCAGAGAAATGCAAATCAAAACCACCCTAAGATACCATCTCACTCCAGTAAGATTGGCAGCCATTATGAAGTCAAACAACAACAAGTGCTGGCGAGGATGTGGGGAAAAGGGTACACTTATACATTGCTGGTGGGACTGCAAATTGGTGTGGCCAATTTGGAAAGCAGTATGGAGATTTCTTGGAAAGCTGGGAATGGAACCACCATTTGACCCAGCTATTCCCCTTCTCGGTCTATTCCCTAAAGACCTAAAAAGAGCATACTACAGGGACACTGCTACATCGATGTTCATAGCAGCACAATTCACAATAGCAAGACTGTGGAACCAACTTAGATGCCCTTCAATAGACGAATGGATAAAAAAAATGTGGCACTTATACACAAAGGAGTATTAGTCTGCATTAAAAAATGACAAAATCATGGAATTTGCAGGGAAATGGATGGCATTAGAGAAGATTATGCTAAGTGAAGCCAGCCAATCCCTAAAAAACAAATTTCAAATGTCTTCTTTGATATAAGGATAGTAACTAAGAACAGAGTAGGGAGGAAGAGCATGAGAAGAAGATTAACATTAAACAGGGATGAGAGGTGGGAGGGAAAGGGAGAGAGAAGGGAAATTGCATGGAAATGGAAGGAGACCCTCATGGTTATACAAAATTACATACAAGAGGAAGTGAGGGGAAAGGGGAAAAAAACAAGGGGGAGAAATGAATCACAGTAGATGGGGTAGAGAGAGAAGAGGGGAGGGGAGGAGAGGGGGGATAGTAGAGGATAGGAAAGGCAGCAGAATACAACAGACACTAGTATGGCAATATGTAAATCAATGGATGTGTAACTGATGTGATTCTGCAATCTGTATATGGGGTAAAAATGGGAGTTCATAACCCACTTGAATCAAAGTGTGAAATATGATATGTCAAGAACTATGTAATGTTTTGAACAACCAACAATAAAAATTAAATAAAAGAAATTATGTATGAAGTAAAACAGAGAAATGAGATGGAAACTGATGAAAGATATGAAGTCAAGGAAAACCTTTTATTTATTTTTTTAATGATCTTTTCATGCTGATGGGAGCAAATAATGAAAGAAAAATGGAGTATAGAGGAGAAAGAGAAGGGGTCAGTGGTTGGGAGTATGTATTCTTTGATGTGTTTCTTCATAGCATTGTATATGGCACCAGGGGGAGAAGAATTTTCTGTTTTCTCTTCTATATCTTCATCTCCCACTGGGTTAGGTGGTGTTCTTATGAACTCCCATTTAACTCCATGGTGTTCTATGTTGCCTTTATACTTACTCCTTTCAAAGTATGATCCTTGTTCTTAAAAGCAGACTGAGGTCCAGCTATGTCCTGATCTAAAGAACCACACTTGCTAGGATATGTTAGCTTTAGAGTCCTCTAGGAGTTATACATAACACCAGAACCACACCTTCTGGAAATCTTCAACCAGAATTATATCAGGATCTCACCAATCTTCTCTGAAACACCAGAGCATAGGTCTTTAGGTGGCTCTTAAGTATTCTCTCCTGCCCTGGGTTGTGGGTAACTGACACATAATGACATTGAATACTGAGAGTAGCTGCTCAGCTCTGAGCACCAGTTCTGTTTCTCACCATTGACATTCCCGGTGGTAGAGTGGCATCTGGGACTCTATCAGGCTTCCCTGGGCTTTGGTATTTTAGACTCAATTCTCATTTCTCCTTTTTCTGTCACAAGTTTAGGCTTGTTTTGTTTTGTCCTTAGCCCGAGGTTGATGCAAGTTAAAGATGTTGTAAGAGGTAAAACAAACAACTAGGCAGATGTTAGTTATCATTGTTATCTTCTGAGCTCAAGGTTTATATTTCTGCCCGCATTTTCAAGGTTTTAGGTCAGAACTTTAAAATTGGGGCCAGAACCTTGAAGCCAGTTCCTGAGGGGCTTGTAGAAAGAAGTGATGACAGTGTGGAATTGTGTCTGTAAGGGGTGTGCATGGGTGCCTATTTGGTTCATCCTTTCATCCATAATAAATATTTGTAAATGCTTGGTCTGTTTAAAGATGTGTTTTGGGAAATTGGCATGGCTCATTTTTTAAGGTGGGAAAACAGAAGATACCAGGACCTCTTTAGTAGACACAGTATGAAGAACATAGAGGATATTCTTTAGAGTAGTTCTCAAGTATCCCTGGAGTTCTTTGTTGAAACATGTAGTAGGGGAAAATCCCAAGCCATGCTGCCTGTTTGCAGTGAGAAAAGGTGAAGAACCAAACCCTGCCACTCACACAAATTCGTTGCCACTGGAAGCTCCTCTTCAAGACCATGACAAAGTTAAAAAGAAATATCACTTCCTAGTCTTTTCCAGCATAAAAATTAAGAAGGAAACTTTTTTCTCTTACTCAATTTTTTCTCTTAGAAAATAGAAACAAGGTTGGGATGCAGCTCAGTGGTGGAATGTTTGCCTAGCACACACAAGGCCCTGGATTGGATCCCTCACATAGCAAAAAATACAAAAAAAGTCGCTGTTATTTATAACTTAATTAAATGTTTTAAATAACTAAACCTCTGTACGTATTTCTTTTAGAGGTGAGTTTATAGATGGAATTACTGACAGACATTAGTTGATGATAACGATGTTAATGGACATTCAAGAAATTGGCAACTTATTTGAAGGGTCCACTCAAGTACTTAGCACACGTTGAAGTTTGACCTTTGTATGTTTTTCCAAACAGACTCTAAAATAAGGTGACATATGTCTTAGCCTTGAGAGATATAAATATTAGTGACGAGGCTACATGTTTTAATAAAAGCAAATGAATCTAAGGGATAGGACTGTTCCTATTGTTTAAATTTTTAAAAATAATAATTGTACATTCATGTATTTTCATGCTTTTAAGAAAAAGGTAATACTGCCATATTATTGTACATTTAAAATGCAAATTTTAATAGTTCAAATTATGCTTTTTAGTAACTAATAATTTCAGATTTCTTTTTGACCCTGTCTTGCCTTTCCCACTTTCTTTGTTTGCCTGGTGTTGGGAAATCCAAATTGAAAATGCAGGCATTTTGAACAAGTTGAATGAATTGTGGCCTTGGCTATAATTGTCACTTCTCAAATTTTAAAAATCTTCTATCTTTCTTTCTACAGACTGGTGAATTTTCAGCTCGTTTTCTCTTGAAATTGCCAGTGGATTTCAGCAACATTCCCACATACCTTCTCAAGGTAAAAATATATGATTATCAGCAAAGGAATACAAATGATACCACTTAACTCATTATTTGTATAAATGGTTTGTCAGCATTGTATTCAGATGATAAATTCTACTAAAAATGTTTATAGGAAGATTCATTGAACTATTTGTTTACCTAAAAGTAAACTAGTAACCTTAAAAGTCATTTAGACATGAGTTTTTTGTATAAGGTAAAATTATTAAACTTTGGAAAGATCAATTTAATTTTATGGGGGTGAAAGATTCTTAGAAATTGTCTAATGCGTTCTTTCTTTAAATACGATTGCATATTAACTATGCTTTGTAAAGGACATTTCATTTTATGTCAGCAGGTAAACTCAGGAACTTTCAAAGTTGGGTTGTCTCAGAGACTCACACTGCAGTTAGACCAGTGTATCTGGCTTTCTTTAAAATGCGATGCAGGCAAAGTATGACCTAGGGCAGCTAGTTTGGGGGAGGGGTCTATAATGTTTTACAGAGAAAAGATTGACCACAAGGCTGTGTTTTGCAGAGAGACACTAAATGGACCAAGTAGCAAGTTCTGAAAAGGAAGCTCTAAGTCATAGGCCCAGGTTCATTCCAGATGAAGATTTTGGTGGTGGTTTAAGATTTGGCTGGCTGTCCTCACCCTCTATTTCAACCTGAGGTTATTTAATTTCAGTATAATGTAAGAAAAATTTCTGCCTTCTAATTTGATGATGTTCAGAGAGCTAATGGCATTTATAATCATCTGGTGAGAAGACAGAATCCTTGTAGAAGTTTCCCTGCATATTATAGTAGTCAATAAAAAATAAGCAGTTATTAATCTTAATAATGGTTAAAAGTATGGTTTGGTAGAATATAGTCTATAACCATAGAAAAGACTAGGGAACCTGTTTTATACATTCCATTGAAGAGAGAAAATTCCCCCTTTTTCCCCTTAAGTAAAACACGAGATTTTTGTGCCTCATTAAACTTTTATTTTTAGTTTCCAGTTGACTGGTTTTCCACTTGGTATCCAGTGGTTGTGAAGTCCAAGTGATATTGGAGGTCAGCAATTTATATCAGTCTTTCCACATTGGGAAATATACATATTAAATCGGTGATTACCAAGAATAGTTAATTTGATTCCAGTAATTATTTTGCTCTATTGGAATAGCAAGCAGTCTCCTTAGAAATCCCATTAACAAATATTTAATGACCTCTTTCATATATTCCAGTTAAAGTCTACTTCAGCTCATTTTGAACCAAATACAACAGTTTATACAAGTACATTGTTCATACAAGCATCATAATCCATAATGTACAGTTCCAGTATCTTTGTTTAGATTTGTTGGTCCTTCTCTATTTGAGTAGTCTTCCTGTTTATTTGACATTGATTTTGCTTCTGCTCATGTTCTTGAAGGTAAAAAAAAAAAAAAAAAAAAGAAATGCATTAGCCTGTAATCTGCTTTTTTCTCTTTAATATCATATTTCATATTTTCTGTTTTAACTTTATATCATACTCTACTTTTTCCTTGTCAGTCAGATAAGAGAAAGCTGGAACCTATATGCCAAAATTATAAATTCTTTTTCTCCCCTGAATTATTATAAAGTGATTTTTCTCCTATAGATGAAGTGCCATCATTGCAATGTTAATGTCTTTCTGGATCTTTAGTTGATGCAAGGAGAATAAAACAAGTACCAAAAAAGGAGAAGCTTTTGAATAATCCAAAACAACAAAATAAGTAAAACCCTTACTTTAAAAAAATACAACAACAACTGCTTAGGAATTGCTTTACATGTACTTTGCATTTGGATGCTCCTGACCTAATTACTTGTCCTAGAATTGATAGTCCAAAAGTAAAATAAGCTTCCCCACTTCTTAGGGTTAGGATAGTCTTTACCAGCATCAGTGTGGTTTCATCTAATCATTCCAAGCAATTAAATGGTAAAGCAGAGCTTTTAAATATAGAGATAGCATGGACTTTGACTATGTTCACAATTTATTTGCTACAATGAATTTTCATTTCACTATGATGAAGCCATCATCTATTCAGAAGTTTAGATTACCAGTTACACCTATTTTACCTACTAACAGGAATGTAAGAATGAAAAAAAAAACATTAAATATTCAGTGATGTGATTTTGCCTAATATTATACTCCAGGTATATATAGTTTTTAAATGAATAGAGTGAATATATTTAAAATGAAGCCTGGCTTCAGAGACTGAATATTATTCTTGGTTGAGTTAAGTCAAAGGGTTAGATAAATCATTTACATAAAAACTCAGTAAAAAAAAAATTTCTGTGTTCATTAGGATTCTTTATTTGTGGGTGGTATAAATCCAGCATGAACTTGTGTAAACCAAATGGGAAATGTACAAATCCTCTGTTCCCATAGTCCAAGGAGCAGGAAACAAGACTCACTGTTGCATAGTCTAAAGATCAAGATAGACCAATCTTTCCATGTCTGTACCACTTTGGCTCAGTTACATACCCTTGAACTTTTCAACTGGTCTCTTTGTTGGGGAGAAAACATGATCCACAGAATAAAAGGGAGATTACCGAAATCATTAAAGTGTAAGTATTCATTACAGTATTGAACCAAAGAAAGATTATTTTATAATTATATGCAGTTGGCCCTCCATATTCATGGGTTCTGCATTAATGGATTCTGTATCTGTACATTTAGCTAACCACAGATGACAAGTTATTTGGAAATAAAAGAATTGTGTCTCTACTAACATGAACAGGCCTTTTTCCCCCACTGGTTGTTATTTCCTAAGTAATACAGCATGATAATTATTTTTTAAGTTGTTGATGGACTTTTATTTTTTATTTTATTTTTTTAAAGAGAGAGAGAGTGAGAGAGAATATTTTAATATTTATTTTTTAGTTTTCGGTGGACACAACATCTTTATTTTATTTTTATGTGATGCTAAGGATCGAACCCAGTGCCTCATACATGCTGTGTGAGTGCTTTGCCACTGAGTCACAATCCCAGCCCAATTATTTACATAGCATTTACAAAGTTCTAGAGATGATTTAAAGTACATTGGAGGGTCTGCATAGATTATTTGCAGATACTGTGCTATTTTATATAAGGGACTTCAGCATCTTGTAGATTTGTATATCTATGAGGGATTCTCTAATCCCCTATGGATACCCATGTTTCTGTTAAAGAAGAGCCAATCACTAGAAACGGTTCCTTTTAATTTTATTAAGGTGAAAACTGGCATTCATATTCTCATCTTCATTTTTGTTCTGAGAACCACTGAACCTAACAATGTAATGCTAATTTAAAAAGAGCCCTTTTCCCCTGGGAAGCCATACTCCATAGTGAGGGACCTAAATAAAAGGTTCTAATTTGTCTACTAAAAATTTTATCTAAACAAGAAATATTCAGAAACTAAGAATATAGTATTTTAGCGAGGAAAGAAACATGATACTCATAAATGTGTTTGTATCTCTCAAAATAATGAGCCAATTTTATACAGGATATAATAAAGTTAAAAATCCTAGAGTTAGGAACCCCTTCAGTAGAATCATACAGAAATATGTGGGGAAATTACTCCACCCCACTGGACTGGATGGTTAAATAGGATTTACTTCTTGCTGGTGGTGGATTTGGCAAACATAACTTTGCAAAAAAATCAGTGGTAACTTTTTCTGTGTTGGATAAGAAAATATGATCATATTTCTAGGTAGTCTAAATAGTTCTGGAGTGTCTCTGAACCAGGCCAGAAGCAGGGCTGTAACAGTTTACTGTGACTGAGTACTTAGACTTCTGGTTTCTGCAGTAATCTTTTTGGCACTATTCGACATGACATAGTGAGCCTGTTCATCCCGATGGAATGCTTGCTGAAATTTAGTCCCACCATGGAATCTGAATCATGCCATTTGATAGAAATGAATTTCTGGTGAAAAAGCTAAAATAGATCATCTATGTCAGGAGGTGAGGCAATCATCCTCCTGAAGCCCCTGTGTCAGTACTGAACAGTCAGGGCGCAATCAGTGCCACATGTAAGTCATACTGCCAAGGAGAAGCAGAAAACAGGGTTAAGGTCAGATTATCAAGATGCATTGAAGAGACTAGGTCAGGCAGAGAATTATAGTGAACATCCACGTTGTTAGTTGGTTCACACCATCACTGATGTTGGGGAGGCATGCGAGGGTCCCTCTGTGCTGAGATGATCTTGTCAATACAGGAGCAGCCTCTTCAGCCTGAAATTGGCTAGCAGGTTACATACTTATAGTCAGTCTGCTTTCAGTCAAACCTAGGAGAGCAAATGCTCCTGGGACCAGGCAGGTACAGAGTCACGCCAGCTTGATAAATATCATATAGTAGGACTTGGTGAGAACTGTAATGAACTTACAAGTATGTGCTGCATCCAGAGGCAGCAGCTGCTGTACAGCTGCAGAATTGTTTTCCATGTGAGAGTATGGGCCTGGCGTTGCCAGATCTGCAGATGTTATTACAAGGAACTCAGAAGCTTGGGGTTTTTATTTTTCTAATATGAAAAATGCTGCCTTTTAAGTGATGGCAATGATAAATATTTTTTTAAAACATTTTATGGGCTAAACGGAGCACCTCTGTGTGTTTGTGACCCTTGCTCTGAAGCCTTACACTCTGATAACCAGCTGGGCAGCAAAAGGCACTTCTGCCCTTTCCTTGACTTATATATTCAGTATGACAATAAGGGGGATCTCACTATGAATGACACAGCAGATGAAAGGAGGAGGACCTTGAACTAGGGTTTTACTCAATATTCTGAGCCCCACAGTGTCCTGTGCTGCTTGCAGTAACTGTAGCAGAGTCCCTTAAATGGGCAGGGTTTGTTTTCTGTGTGCAGTACTATGCAGGACACTTAAGTGTTGATTTTGACTCAAACTGACACTAGGATTAGACAAACCAAACAACCACACACACAAAAAGAAATTTTAAGCTTAATCATTATTGTCAAATATCTTTTAAGATATTTGGTAAGCTAACAAACATTAATTAGAAAATAGTTAAGTACTAACTTGAATG